AAACCATACCTTCCCAAGGCAAAAGAAATACTATCCGTCCATCACTAGTTTCTGGATTAAGAAAGCCCATATTGCGAGGACTAAAGAATAGAACGAAATATGAGCAAACAGTCTAGAAGTACCTGTAACTTTCTGAAACCAATATAAACATAGGACGTTAAGAATTGGAACATAACAACAGTACCATCCAGTCGCGATCATGTAATCGGAATGTTCTATTGTCTTGTTAATGTTCTATTGTCTTATTAATAATTTATGATAAAAGCTCAAAAGAGATTTTCAATAAATATCTGTAAATAGGATAAAGATTTCGTCCTGATTTGCATAAACTTTACCTTCGATTTTGTCGGCTAAAACGAACGATACAGCCATAACCTCAGCCATAACAATTGGTAAACTTGATTACTTAGATACATTCGTATGTTACTTAAGTAATACCATATCTAATAATGAGCAGCCGACTATACAGGGTGTCCCAAAAAACCCGAAAACTATTGAAATCACTTATTGTTAAAATTAAATGCCCTACTAAAAAGCTGAACGTAATGATGCGTAAAATATTGACAAGGTGCATGTATTAAAATTTAGTTAACAACATCTCCTTGTAAAGTGCGCGATTTTCTGCTCTTGGGTATTTAAGGCAGCTTCTTAAATAGTTTCTTTATGCATAAAATTTACTTGTGTCAATCATTTATGCATGCACTCGTGGGAACCAACAGAGTGCTAAGGCATTCAAATCCTAACAAATAAATTGTTATTGGTGATTTCAATAGTTTTCGTGTTTTTTTTGGGACACCCTGTATGTAGTGTATTTGATTTTTAAGGCGAGCCAAATGATATATTCACTTCATTGTTTAGAAAATCCTACAATCATGTTCCCTATATACCGTCCTGCCACTCGTAGTTTTGATGTTTGCACTTTTGTAAAGGGCTTTTACAATCACTTATCCACTCTGCTCTGGTAACTGCAGGTTGACCGCGATCTGCTAGGAGATATGGCTTAGCGAAACACACTATTATGAAAATTCCTTACCTATAATATTCAGGCAATACTATATGTACTCCAGCACTTGGCTGACAGATGTTAGGTGTTGATGCATCATCCATCTTCCTTATATCATCCGTGTACGGTCCTGTGGCATTCACCACGCATTTCGCATGGACGTTCCACTCTTCTCGCGTGAGCTGGTCGCGAACACGCGCGCCACACACGATTTCTTTTTCAATGTCATCTGACAAGATATAAAATAGAGAATCTAAGTAAGGTTGACTGCTACTGACATTTGGCCATATTTACTGATATCTTTAAAAATATCTCATTGATAGTTGACAATTGGTTTGAACTATATAGCGGAATATAGCGGACAATTGGCATTCAAAGACCCCATCTCTTAAACGTGGTGGTGATATAGTGTTCTACAATAAGCTGTCGTGATTTGTGTCTGAACTACCTGAAAAAGATATCTCAAACGTGGTGGTCCAGTGTAGGTAGTATTCTACAATAAGCTGCCGTGGTTTGTGTCTGAACTACCTGAAAAAGATATCTCATAAACGTGGTGGTCCAGTGTACTGTAGGTAGTATTCTACACTAACCTGCCGTGGTTTGTGTCTGAACACATAAAAAATATGCCGCAAAAGTGGGTCCGCGTGTAGGCACTGTAGTATTCTACTGTACGCTAGCTGGAAAATGTCGTAAAATGGTTGCTGGAACAGTGAAAAAAGCAATAATAGAACAGCAATGTTGAGCTTTGATAACATGGTTGTTCAATCTTCATAACAAGTTGTAATACAGTATTGTAACAAGCGTTGTGACAATACTGTTGTCGTATAAAATATTCTTGACAACACTGTTCACAAGAGTCGACAAATACGGAGTGAAACACGAATCTGTGTAGGAGATGACTCTGTGCCAAAAATTAGGTTACAAATTGTATGGAAAACTGAATTGTTTTATTTTGTGGAAAAGCTACTTCGCGAGGTTTTCTATATCCGTAAGCCCGCAACTTCATCAGTGCGAGCAGCGGGTACTAAACTACAAGACATGACCCAATAACAATGTCAATTGTTGCTGGTAACATTACCTTGAATAACTTTCTTCTTCAATAAGTGAATTACTTCAGTATGGTTGGCGACACTTGCACCACGACGTGCCGCAGTTAGTGCTATACTAACATTCATACGAGCATCGTCTTGTTGACCTAGAGTAAACAAATCTTTAATTTTATCGCATTGTTTTTGCAGACCCTACGAAAAATCTATCTTATAGGAAACTACACGTGCCTACAAAAAGGCGTTTAAAATGTTCTTCGTATTTGCCTTTTTCTAAATGGTCCTCAAAATTGCGTTAAAAGTAATGGAAAATTGAATCACACATGACATGAACACTTCACAATATCAAATGACAGATGAAGAAGTATGTATTTCTATGTACAGTAAGTATGATTCCTTAGATTCTCTCAAGAAAATATGTGTGAAATTTGAAAATGTTCCTTAATCTTTACACAAAGGCAAACATTCCTCCTGATCCCTAGATCCTACTTCTTTCCAGATGTAATAACGCGTTAGGAAATTCAAAGAATATCACGATCGTAGTGAAAGACCTTATTATTGAACAAAATCCTTCTGGTTTAACATAATCTTTTAGTTCACATTTGTCACCAAATATCATTCTTGCCTTTTATGAGATTACTGAAGAATACGAACGTTCTCATCACGACGGTATATTATTTTTCAAATATCGTACTTTGTAAAACCTCTTACCGTCATAGTACACGATCCCTCCACACAAATCTTTTCTTTTCAACGTTGGAAACAATTCTAATGCTTTCTTCTGACCAACAAAATAACTGCTGTGTAGAAGCTGTTTTCCAGCGATCACATCATACATCTTTATTCCTGTCCAGAAATATGGCACCTTCCACCAACTAAGAACATAATATTCACCTCTGAGGCCGTAGTCTTAAAATACATGTCCTTCGTGGTACTGTAGATTCTCAATAGCATAAACATAGGTGGAAATTTTTTCTCTCTTTGTGGGCCTTGATTTAGGGCTCAAATTTTTTTGAAAAGGTTACATTATACAGGGGAAAATAAGTCTCTTTTCACCTTCAACGGATTATGTTCAATTAAGATGTGTTGTCGCGTGAAGAAATATGTCTTTAAATACAAGATAAATCCTGAAGTAGTCATAGTAGTTAAAATCTTACAGGATTAAAAACAAATATCCTACTCCAGGCTACATGCATGTTTTCGTTCCGAACTGTTCCGCTGTAATTCAGGTATTGAGTTACTAGATTATTTAGGTATTTAGTAATTTAGATATTCAATCAGTGTAATTTCAGATTTAGCTATCAAAACATAAAAAATATATAGAAAGGATGTATATTTTAAGAGACAACCATTTGCAGTTAAGAGCAGTGAGAATCTACCACAAAGGACATGCATTACAAGTTCGCTAGCTGTTGATTGAAAACCAAGGTTGAGCCCACTAGTGGACTGTACTTCAATTTTCAAGACCACTACCTACACTAAAAATTTACTGTAGAATATTCGATGTTACAACTTACGTGTAAACAGGGAGCATTATAGGTAATGGTTGAGCTAAATGTGGCGCACTTCGTAACATGTTGGCACGTTCATGTAACGCTTCTGTAACAAGCTTGAACTAAACATGACAAAAATTTTCTTTTCAAATATGTGACCTCGCGAAACAAAAATACGATTTCATTTAAACATTGATCTTCAAACCTGTTCATAACTCAGATTGAAAATAGCTTTCTGTAGGTATCGAACTCCACCATGAAGGAGTTTTGTACTTCTACTGCTCGTTGCTGACGCAAAGTCATCTTTCTCTACTAAGGCTGTTGTCAGACCTATACATACACCAACAGAGATCACAAAAAGCTCAGAAATTTTTAACCCATTGAGTGCCACTGTGCCAGCACTCTCCAAGTAGGTAACATAATGATGACTTTTGGCATAAATTTCATCAGTGGGGTGGGGCAGCAATTGCCCCTTGTCCCACCCTTTATGTAGAATAGTAAGTTTGTCAGAAATTTAGAAGGCTTGCCTTTCGCCCTTCCCCACTAGGAAAAGGGAATTTCTGCCACTGTAATAATTCAGTGTTCAGACTGAAGTACAGTATATATTTTCACATCATAAATTGAGATAAAGAAAAGCTGAGATGAAATTTTAAATTTATTTTATCAAATATGAGAGTGCAAATCTTGCATTTACTGTTGAGGCAATGGATTAACCCTGCACCTTGGTTGCTTTACACAAGGTAAGTTTAATTACTAGTTTTGGAGACTGTCACTCCCTATCAGGGTCAGAGATGGATTTTCATATTTTCATTCGGGGGGGGGGGGTGGATAAATATCTGAGGGGGTGCTGCTGCTTGCTTTGGCCGGGGCCTGGTGGCAGTGCCCGGAAAGGCCAAGGAAAAAGTTTAACAAAATTTGTTTTCTAGGCCTGCATGGCAAGATCTGAGACCATAATATTGGTAATTTTACAAATTTAGTAGTAAGAATAATGAAATATGAAACTATCAAATCAAATATATATAATTTGCGGGGGTGCAAAAACTTTTGGGGGCGGTGCCAAATGCCTCTGGGGGTACAAAATCATTTCTGGGGGTGTGCACCCCCCCCCCCACCCGCAGAAAATCTGTGCCTGATCAGTGTCCTCGACAAAACCAGAGGAGTGATTTGGAGTCTGGGTAATTGACCCAGTGTTGTAGTACCCACCCCTAGTGACTGCATCCAATGCAACGCCACAACCAGTGGCACCTCCTCCAATCACCAAAACATCAAACTCTGCCGTCTCCTTCAGTCGTTGAAGCTGAATTTGCCTGCAAAGGTGAAGCTTATTTCGTATTTGGGTAGGTTTCAGCAAGCAGATGGTGGCCAACTTGAAGACAGAGCTGTTGACACTCATAAGGGCAAGAAAATTAGACTACACCTCTCAGTTCTATTTATTTTCAAGACTACAAGACTATATAATGAAAGAAATAAACCTCACTGTTTATAATCTGAACTGTCTGTGCAGTGGCGTAACGTTATATCAGGGGACCCCTGGTTCAAAATTTTCGAAGGCCCCCTAGTAGAAGTGCCAAAGGCACAATTCTAGCGCCGTATATGTAACATATCAGAGGCCTGGCCAATGTTTTTGCTCTATCGCCTGGGGACCCCATTTGGCCCATTGAGGTTGGGGGCCCCCGGGTTCTCCCGGTGTGAGCCCATAATAGTTATGCCACTGTGTCTGTGCCATTGTAGGTAGTTCCAATAATAAGAAAGCTTTGGATTAATAAGGATGCAACTACCTGAAACAGGGGCACCGGAGACACCGAGGCAACTGCCCCTGTTGCCCAAACATTGCAGGGGCAGCACAGGAGCAACAGGTTGCCCTTTTTGCCAGAACTGCACCTCGGAATTTGTGCAGTATTCACAGGAATTGGAATTTAGAACTTCCTCCCCCCCCCTCTGACCAGAAAAATGGGTCATTCCAGAAAACATACATACCTCCCCCACAGAGGAAATTGGAAGTTAAACCCCCTACCCCCTTCGGATGTCATAATACATTTACTATTATCAGAAACAATTTTGTCTCCCCTCCCCCTCCGGACGGCAGAAATTTCCTCCGTGGGGGGAGTGTGGATCTTTTCTGGAACAACCCAATACAAGAAGTTCAACATTTCAAGTGAAGGCCCTTCCATTATTTTCCTGACGAAGGAAAATGTCGAAGTTCTCCTTGTATTTATTTTTCAAGTGGTTCTGTTGCATCCCTTATCAATCTGAAGCTTTCTTACTGTTTATAGCAATCCTGCTCCAATGGCCTCGTTTTTATCATTTTCTTACTCTGATAACTGTGGGTTAACTACCATCTCACGGTAGTGCATTAAGTGAAACCGTGTATCCAAATTTTGCAAGGTCATTGAAATTAACATGATCATTTACAAGTTTTCAAAGAAATTTTACCTTGAAGGTAATGGTGTTAATTTTTCACCTAATTTGATTGCAGTTTCTAAATCGTGATATTCAATTGTAATGCTCTGAAAAAAAACCAAATAAACATCCAGTTCAGCCATTTCTCACAATACAAATCACAATATACAGGCATTGTTCAAGTTAAACGTACATGACGGCTTTGAGCAGCAGCGTAAGCCAGACAGCCTCCTCCTAGAACTGCTAGTCCTCCCAAAACTTGGACATAAGCCATTGCCTTTTTAATTGAAACAAATATTTTATTAACATTTTGAAAACTGTGAAAAAATTCAGAGAATCAACTAAGAGGCTGTCAACAAGTGGACTTCTTTTGCAATGGGAGGGGGGGGTGAGAAACTGGGGGGAAAAACTGAATTTTCTCATCAAAAATCACATTGGCTGCTCTGTGATTGGGTGATACAAACTTTCCACACTGGAGGGGAAACCCACTAAAGTGCAAGACTCTCCCTTCAATTAGACTTCAACAAGTAAAATCGTCAGGGATTAGACAGAGTAAAATAATAAAGTATGGTGCATTGGGGCACATTGCAGCTTAATTAATTATTAATAACAACAAGAAATTAAATTATACATGAATTCCCTCCAATGAACCCATCTAATGTTTCCCCATATGCGATAATGCAGAGCCTCTTTATTTTAATACTGCCAATATTTCGGTCTTTGAGATGGTGGTCTACTAAAAATCATCTTCAGTTTTATCTTTGTATATTTTTTCTCATTTCGTATTGTAAAAGGCAACGTTTTTTTATAACAAAGTTTTTTTATAAAAAAAAATCTGGACTTTGCCTCACCACAGGACACACACATCCCTATATAAAAACATGTAACTCCAAAAACCTGTATATAATTACCTTGCCTTTATATAAAACAATCAAACTACATTCACGACTTAAAAATGTGTCTAAGAGTAAGAAATCTACACTTTTGTTGTTTATTTTTGTTTTGCCTTTGACTAAAACACTAAATTTCCATCCACCTGAGTCCTGACGTGCCTTTCGTAACGGGTCGTTTTGTATCGATTTAGAATCGGAAAGTTATCGGAAAGAGAACACGCTACAATTCGGCTATCTTTAAAATAGGGAACGGGAATGCGGGAATATGGGAATACGGGAATATGGGAATACGGGAATGCGGGAATGCGGGAATATGGGAATACGGGAATGCGGGAATATGGGAATATGGGAATACGGGAATGGGGGAATACGGGAATGGGGGAATGCGGGA